ATCTGAGGGAATTACCCTAGCCCCGAAATCTCTTATACCGCGGGTGAAATCGCTCCCAGGATCCTCAACAGTTGATCCCTGGATCGACGACACCAATATAATAGCGACAAAGTGCACAAGGAAACCACGATACGTAGCGGATTTGCGGGTCAAAAATTGAGGCGTCATGCCCCACTTTCCCCACTAAGCCACGACGTTACCGCTTCTACGCACGCACACTCAATTTGGAATCCCGGAATTTCTGCGGTGAATCAATCCGATTGATTACCCACCGTTCCTTTCCTAAAGGACGTTTGTCAGTTCGACTGACCACCCTCCGCGGTGACCCATGTGCACTCGGACACGTAAAACACCCGACCGAAGTCACCTTCAGGTTTGCTATGAGATGATCTTGACACCCCTCCGCGGGTTGACTTGGCCCTTCCACTAGGACCCAAGGCGCATGCCTCATAAACTTGGACTCGGAGATGGCCTGCGTTGGCGTTCCCCTGGGATAAGGCGTGGCATCTCCCCGGAGAGTCCGACCACGCGTCGGCGTCGCCACTCGGGTTTTTATGGCATGTCCACACTCGGACCTCAAGTCTATCTCTCCTGAGAGACATATGAATGCCACCAAGTTTTACTCGGCGATCAACAACACCCAATCACCTGGGGAACGCTTTAGTCCAGAGTCCGTCGTGTTTTCGTCCAAGGCACGATGGACTACTATTCGGAAACATATTCCGAGTGCCACTGAAGCACTTGGACTGAACCGAAAAGCTCACTCCGTTTGCCCAACGAAACCTCAACCGATTCGGGGGCTAATGATGAGGTCACCTACTACAGATAGGGTCAAGGAACTGTCATCTAGGGCCCACCTAGGGCCCCACACCATCATTGGTAGGTCCGTGGACCGTAGACACATTCGGATGTGTAAGACAGGAAGTCCACTCGGATGCACCGATGGCTAAGGGTGGAAACGGATCGGATGCGGATCGGATAGTGCTCTTACCACTTTCATTTTCATATTTTCAAAACGAATACGAATCCGAATACGGATGTTATCGGATACGGATGCGGCTCGGATATTATTTGAATACGGATACGTATCGAATATTTTCTTGATTCGGAACGGATACGAATAATATCAACATATTGCTTAAGTAAATTAGTCGATAGCTATGTGACCTAAAATAATCAACTTGTGACATACAATAAGTCAATGATAAATAGGTTTATGAATAAATACTATTGTAATGCATAATAATTTATAAGTTTAATCATATAAAGAGTAAAATTCGACCGCTTATTTGGCTTGTATGTTGGATAATTGGAATATTTGGCCTAGAATTTTAAAAATTACCTCCCATAATCTTATTCAGATACGGATATATCCACTTCCATATCCATATTTGTGTCAAAATCTCCTACCATATTTTATTTTTTGTTTGTTTAATAAATTCGAATACGGATAATTTTCATTTCCATTTTGGTTCGGATGCGGATGTTTCGGATACGAATAGGCATTTTCTCGAATACGAATATCGGATATTTCGGATTATTCGCTACCACTTTCCACCCCTACCGATGGCACTCGGATGCCTTCCCTCTAGTCGGCCCGACCATCACCAGTCGAAAAAAGGAAGATGAAGGGACAACGAGGGAGCTACAACGATCGAGTAGTCTTAAACAAGCCTTTAAATATAGTCAAGGCTACAGTTACCTGTGACAGCCGTAGTTGTAGCTATTTACTCTTGTAACTGCCATAGCTATCAACATTAATCACCTTGGCGACGTGGGAGTGAAGGGAGCAGTGACACACTCTATATAAGGCGTCCTCCTCCTCCTAAGCAAGGGTTAAGCACTCTCTGTAATCACACACCCCAAAAGAAAACAAGTCTTAGAGCACGAGATGTAGGGCAATTACCTCCTCTGAGAGGGGTTTGAATTTGTAAACGCCGAGTGTTACACCTGTGCCGTAGCAAGGCTCTGCCTCTCTTTCGTATATGTAGTATTCATTGTCAGGATTGTTACCTCAACAGAGACTGCTGTACAATTTATTTATTTTGAAAAGATGATTGACTATGTAGCACGTGTAAATTTGCATTAAAAGGAGATGTTTCTTCATCTTACCGTCGTAAATTTGCATTATTTATTTTTGAAACAACATTTTCTAACTTCTGGATGAATTACGCGGACCAAGGTTTTACATGAGGGGAGAAACATTAACCCACAGTATGCTAGTACTACGTCTATATCCGTCAATGATTTTCACGTGGTATGTCCAGGAGTGCCAAAAGTAGTTCTTCCCGTGTCGATCACTGACTTTTCTTTTGAACCGGGCACGGGGTGTAGTTCCTTTGCCGCTGAAGATTTTTTGACGAAATGCAGCGAGAGCGCTGCTTTCATTCATTAAGAGAGGAGAGACTCGCCTGAAACGTGAGGTTCAAGGTTTGAGTTTCATGCAGGCTCCACGGTAACATTCCTGATTAAGCCCATCGCAAAAAACAAAACCTGATTAAGCGAGCGCTGCTGAGGTTTTTTATTGTCGATAAATGATTACAGGTAGAAAAAACTTTTTTTTGAAGCCCTTTTTGGTTTTTGCTAAGGGACCAGAGCGCCAGGAAAAACATACTTGTGTACTTACGGAGGCTTAAACTACAAGAAATTCACATGACAACAGGGTGGTACATGTACGATTACATACTTCTGCATCGGAGAAATCCACATGTGTTGGGCATAAGTTGGTTGGCATGGCCATGAGCATGTGGGCAAAAGAGCGAATCCAGACTGGGCAGAGTCCCAAGTCCTGGCACATCTCGTGCCAGTCATGTGCATCTAGGGGCCAATCATTTCGTGGATCGTTGTCGAGGCATTCTCTTGGTTGGCTGGCCGGTTTCCAGATCTAAAATCATGTTCTTCAGCCCATGTTGTATGCATATTCTATCCATTTTACCAAATATCCAGGGCATGCCTGTATAAAACGGTTGATGTGCCAGAAGAAGATTCGATCAGCAGATGACGTATTTCGCTCTAGCACTACAGTATATACTCCCCACCAGGACCAGGGGCGAAATTAATTCCAGTGCAACGGTGGTGCACTTTGCCGCGTAGGCAGAGGCTGCTGCGCCGGTGTCGGTGGCGTCGCTGCCGCTTCGTTGGTCGAGGATGTCGTCGGTATCAATCAAACGGGCGTCGCTGCACAGAATGATCCATGAACGAGCAGCACGTCTAGCATGCGAGCAGGATACAAGAGCGAATATAGAAGTACAGCAGCGGCTTTGACTAGGAGTGGTCAACGAGGCATGGACTTGGCACTCAAGGGATTTCCAGTCCTTTTGGCTTTTATCCAAAGAATTTAGAGTCCTTTTATCAACCACTCAGAGCCAATATGTCTTGGTTATATACAGTTTTTTCTTTGTCAGCTAGCACATTTTGGGTTTCGAGTCCAATGCGCTAACGGACCATGCCTCTCGAATCAGTACATATGGCGCAAGACGGTTCCACATATATATTGACTAGGAAGGGATCAACGAGGAATGGACCGGAGACGGTGGAAAGGAATTCAGAATCAAGATTCAGAGCCCTTCCGCTCAGTATCTTTCTTTCTTTTCATGCAATTTTTTTTAAAGTCGGCCCAAAAGGATCTCAAATTCGTTAAGAAAGAAAAGAGTTGCCCGGTTAATTAAAAAAAACCCGAGCGAAAACCGGTACAACATGCCCGCAAAAACAACACACTCCCGACGATCTAGCAACCAGACAAGAACACACACACCCCGCCGAGGAGAAAAGCACTGTCGAGGTTGCAATCCGATGTCATCGTCATCACTCCTCTCCGAGCCAATGACTCCCACTACACCATCGACTAAAACCGAGATAGCCTACACCGCAAACAAGCGCCTTGCATCGGCCAATGCAAAATAGTCCATCGCACACGCTAGCGACCAAGCAGCTCGAGTCTATCGACGAGCGTTACAGGAGAAAAGCGCTGGGCCTGCACTGAGCGAGCGTCGGAACCGAAAACCCATCTTGCGTCATTGTCACCGCAAGGGCGCCTACTCAGCAGCTCCGACTGATCTAAAAACAAAGTAAGGTGCAACCCCTCGAACATGGAGACCTCCTATACGACATCATTAAGCTCGATCGATCGTTTTGCTCGATCGCTCCATAGCAGGCTCGCTCAATCGATCTTCACTACCTTGGTCGTCAGTTGATTTTGATCCTCAACCACTCACCGTTGCCTTTTCAAAATTTTGAAAAAATTCGCGATAACAAAGTATGTTCATAAATTAAAAAAAATCAGGATTTTAAAAAAAGTTCACAAATTTAGAAAACGTTCATGACTTTTTCTATAAAAAATCACGAATCTGATAAAAGTTCACAAATCTAGATACAAAGATAGCGTATTTGAGAAAAGTTTGCAAATTATTTAACAAAATCACGAGTTTTTAAAAAGTTAACAAATTTAAATAAAAAAGTTCATGAAGTAGAGAAAAATCCACAAATTTTTCAAGAAACAAAAATTTGAAAAAAAAATCAGAAACTGAAATACAAAAAGTACACAAATTCGAAAAGAAAGTTCGAATTTTTTTGCAAAAAAAGTTCAAAAAATTTGAAATTTTATCAAACTACAGAAAATCATAAAAATCATATTTTGGAAAAGGGGAAAAGAAAAATTGGAAATAGAATGAAAAAAAAACTAACCAACAAAAAACCGAACAAAAACCATGTAGAAAATACCCAGTCTAGTAAACCGGTGGGAAACTTTTAGAAGGTTCCCAAAACTTGTTGGCGAAAGAAATGTACCGGGAGGCCAATTAATTCTAGCCAATTAATGGCGAAAGAAATGGACCGAAAGAAATACCCAGTCTGCATTCATGAAATTCCTCACTTATAATTTTGCTATTGGCGGTTAATGGCCGGTCACTATTGACCTTTTTTTAACGTAGTGCCACGGTATGAAGTCAGCCTGTAATACAAAAGAAAAGGAAATAAATAAGAGGAAACCTTGCATTCATCTGTCACTGATCTCTGCTCCCTTCTTCCATGGAATCCAGTGCATGGCTGGTGGTTCTCGTCTCATTTGATCCAGAAAGATCAAGTGGCAGTGAGTTATGGTGCATATTCGAGTTTGTTGTTGATTGCACATGCATTTCACCCTCCGGACGACGAATGTGCTCCAAGTACGCATGAGGCCAAACTCCTGTTATTCAACAGTTCATGAAATAACTTTTGTAATTTGTTGGTCTTATGATTACATTATAAAATACGGCATAAGTTCATGTTATGAAGACATGTCTTATGATTAGTTGTCTAAGTTATGAAGACATGTCTGTAGTGTTCGTGGTGCCTGTTTGTAGCAATGATCCATTGCTACCTAATGATGTTGCCTTGGCAAGGCTAATGTGTACGCCGCGTGCTTGCAATGATGTAGCTTATGTTTGCAATGAATGAAAGTCTCTCAGTTCTAAACTGGAATGTTCGCGGTCTTAACTGCCCAAATCGTCGCGCCACCGTCCACGAGACCATTGCTGCTACCCCGTGCAACCTTGTGTGCCTCCAGGAAACGAAATTGTCAGTGGTCGACCCATTCCTTGCATCTTTCCTTGGTGGCCAAAGACTGAAGAACTTTGCTGAGAAGCCGGCGGATGGAACAAAAGGGGGGATTCTTCTTCTATGGAATGAAGATTACATCAAGTTGGACAATATTTCTGTTGGAAACTTTAGTATCTCTGCAAAAATCACCCTGGTCAGCACCAGCACCTCCTTCAAATTCACTTCGGTCTACGGACCTATAAGAAGCAACCTTAAAGATGCGTTCTTCCAAGAGCTATTAAGCCTGAAGCCACAACAGGGTACAAGATGGCTCGTCGCAGGTGATTTTAATCAGATTTACCGTGCCTGCGACAAAAACCGCTCTAACGTTGACCGTAGTCGCCTTGTTCGCTTCCGAAGCGCCCTCAACTCATGTGAGCTAAAAGAGATACATCTACAGAATAGGAAATATACATGGAGCAATGAGCAGGCCAACCCGACACTAAGCAAGTTAGATAGTTTTTTCTGTAATGATGATTGGGATGTTGACTTTGGCTCTCACATCCTTCATGCACTATCTTCCTCGCTCTTCGATCACTGCCCGCTGCTACTAACTTGCGACAAGGGCCCGAAACGACCAAAAACCTTTCGCTTTGAAAATTTCTGGATCAGGATGCCTAATTTCAAGAAAACGGTCACTGATGCTTGGAATGAAGAGATGACCCACACGGAGCCATACCAGATACTCTTCCACAAGCTTAAACGGACGAGCCAACGACTGCAGACCTGGAGCAAGGCTATATTCTCTAACCACAAAGTCCAGCTCCACATGGCTCTCGAGATCATTCTTCGCCTTGACGTCGCGCAAGAGCTAAGGACACTCAGCCCGGCTGAGTGGAACCTTAGAAAGGAGCTGAAAAGGAAAGTTCTTGCTTTGGCGGTTCTTGAACGAGCACGGAAAAGGCAAAGCTCACGAATCACGTTACTCAAAGAGGGAGATGCTAACACTCGCTTTTTTCACCTCCGCATCAATCACCGTAGAAGGAAGAACTTCATTCACCGTCTCAAACACAATAATGGGTGGGGCACACACCATGACCACAAGAAAGAAATCATCCAGCAACACTTTTCTAAGGCCATGGGGAAGGCCCCCCGCGTACCAAGGACTTCAACTGGGACTGCATTCCGCATTCGGCTCTTGATCTTGCAGAGCTAGGCAACCCCTTCACCGAAGAGGAGGTCCACGCAGCCATCAATAATCTCCCCGGTGATAAGGCGCCGGGGCCAGATGGCTTCACCAGAGTGTTTTTCAAGGAATGTTGGGACATCGTCAAGCCGGACATTATGAGAGCAATCAACAACTTCTCAACCCTCCACATCTCCAACCTCCACTGGCTCAACTCAGCAAATATTGCCCTCATTCCAAAGAAAGAGGGGGCAGAGGACATTTCTGAGTTTAGGCCCATAAGCCTCATCCATGCGGTTGCCAAGATCATTGCAAAGATGATGGCCACACGTCTTGCTCCTCACATGTCTGACCTCGTTTTCAATACGCAAAGTGCTTTCATCAAGAAAAGAAGCATACATGATAACTTTATGTATGTCCGAAACTTGGCACGTCGATTTCACCGCAACAAATCACCGACCCTGCTCTTCAAGCTAGACATCAAGAAAGCGTTTGACTCGGTTAGATGGGACTACTTGATGGATTTATTGAGACATCATAATTTCCCAAGCCGCTTTCGAGACTGGATCTCCGCCCTTTTATCCACGGCCTCGTCCAGAGTTCTTCTAAATGGGGTGCCTGGGGACCCATTTCGCACGGATGTGGACTTAGGCAGGGGGATCCCCTATCCCCCCTCCTTTTTGTCTTGGCCATTGACCCGCTCCATCACATCTTAGCTAAGGCGACTGAGCAAGGCAAACTACGCCCCCTCCGGGGTAACCCCACGCGGGCTTCTCTGTATGCCGATGATGCGGCCATCTTTGTTGCTCCTATCAAGGAAGATATCTAGTTCTTGGCATCCACGCTCGGCTCTTTTGGTGAAGTTACCGGGTTGGCCACCAATTATAACAAAAGTCATGTGGCTCCCATCCGTTGTGCCAACATCGATTTGGATGGGATTCTTCAGGCCTTCCCGGTGGTCCGGGCCACCTTTCCCATGAGATACCTTGGCCTACCGCTTACGGTTGCAAGACTAAAGCGCATCCACTTCCAATATCTAGAAGATAAGGTGGCTGCCAAGCTCCCGCCCTGGTCGGCCATACATGTGGCTACCCCGGGGCGCATCGTCCTGGTCAAGGTTGTCCTTACGGCGATTGCGATATATCACCTCACCCCGTTGGACCTACCTGTAGAAGTGAGGAAAAAGATTGATAGTCTCAGACGTGCCTATCTCTGGGCAGGATGTGATAAGGTGACGGGAGGCAAGTGCAAGGTGAACTGGGATCTAGTTTGCAAGCCCAAAGTTCATGGGGGTCTAGGTGTGCTCAACCTGGAGAAATTTGCTACTGCTCTACGCCTCCGTTGGTTGTGGTTTGAGTGGGCGGATCCGCCAAAACCATGGGTTCGGATGGGAACGCCTTGCTCTGACAAGGATAAAGATCTCTTTGCGGCGGCCACGACGGTTACCATTGGTGATGGCAACAAGGCTATTTTCTGGGAATCCTCTTGGCTGAATGGTTTTCGACCCAAAGACATCGCGCCTAAAATCTTTGAGATTTCAAAAAGGAGGAACTGTGTGGTTAGCAAGGCTTTGGACAACAATTTTTGGATCCATCAGATCAACACCACACAGGGCCTCACCTTGACGCACTTACAGGAGTTCGCCAACCTCTGGGAGATGGTTGCCGGTGTCACTCTAAGCCAAGATAGACAAGACACTATTTCGTGGAAATTCACTACCAGCAGAGAGTACACGACATCCTCGACTTACTTGGCGCAATTTGCGGGACTCACCTACAGTACCAATACTTCCATGATCTGGAAGACGTGGGCTCCTCCCAAATGCAAGTTCTTTGCTTGGCTAGTTCTCCAGAACCGAGTCTGGACGGCCGATCGCTTGTCTCGGCGGGGATGGCCCAATTGCAACCTTTGCCCCCTTTGCAAGCAAGTTCAAGAGTCTGCTGCCCACCTGCTATTTCAGTGTAGATTCACGAATAGAGTTTGGAATGAGATTACCATTTGGCTGGGAATCCACGACTGCTCACCGATGATTTGGTGAAATGAAGTTTCGGTTCGAACTTGGTGGCAAAAGGCGGTGAGCAACGCGGATCATAACAGAAAGGCTCTTGGCTCCATTATGATGCTTGTCTCATGGGAGATATGGAAAGAACGAAATGCCAGAATTTTTCGCAACGCCGCGACTCCGACCACAATTATCGTCACAAGAATTAAAGAGGAGGCCCGCCTGTGGACTTTGGCTGGGGCCAAGCATTTGAGTAGGCTCATGTTGCGAGAGTAGTCTTTTCTTTTGGTCGCGTTGCGACATATGTCTGAACCTCCTCTTTTATTTAATGAAAATGGCAAATCTTTTGCCTGGTTTAAAAAAAAATACGGCATAAATTAGCTAGTGATTAAAAGTTTCACTTTTATAGACTATCTTTGTTAGAAACGATATGCATTGGTGATTCAAGGACAGGCCCATTGCCTTTTCATATGTCCACCTATGCTAGCCGCCTTTGACTATTGATTTCCTGAATGCTATCCCTTTGACTATAGGTTGATGAAAGGAGAGAAAGACTTGCTTAGTCGTGTGTTTTATGGTAACTGCAGACGTCTTCAAGCCCACTTGGGCGGTAGTAGACACATGATATATTTTTCTAAATAAGAAGAAAGAAAACTTTATTGCTCTGATATACATATGAAACTATGGATCATACCATGTTCACTGTAGGGTGGTGGAAAGAACTGAAGGTAGCAAAATGAAGCAACCACCCATCCTGCGGAGTTGTACGAAGCACAATCAGCGGCTGTGTGATCTTAATTCAGGAATCATCAGAGTTACAGTAGACGGGAAGTAACTGAACTGAATTTGACACCTACCAAGGACTCCACCAGCAAACACATCCTGCCAGTGGTGCCAGTAGTCCGTCACCCGCGATACCGCAACCATCGTCGCGGAAAGGAGAGGCAGAAGAACGATGCAGAGCTTGGCGATGTGTCCTCTTCGATCAAAAGCCTTCATTTTGCCGGCCAGGTACCATGACAGGAATCCAAGCCCAGCAAATGCGCCTTGAAAAGGACAAGAAAGACAGCCAGCCATTGCAAGAGTGAGAGGCTTTTTTTGCGGGCGTCAGAGATTCAGAGAACGGCTTTCGGCAATTACCTGAAGCATGCCCACTCGGGAAGCTCTTGTACCCCTCTTTGATCGCGCCTGGTTTACCGTGGCATATCACATCTCCGGTGACGTTGTCGTACTTCTAAAATCGGGCGTTCAGGTAGATAAATCGTTAGCTCAGAGTTACAGATGGATAGCCCATCACCGTTCTATTTATTACCCAAGCTAGAAATCGCGTAAATTTTGCAGTTGTGAGGAAGGAGAAAAAAGCAACTACTGCTAGCTCTGAGGAAGCTGTGGGATGAACTCACCGGCACTCCGTCGGGAAAGCAGCGCCAAAAGAAGTCCGGGCGCGGCCGACCAACCGCGTCCTTGATCGCAACGGTCACGATAGCAGTTATAAGGACGGAAAACAGGAGGCCTGCTTGGGAATATTGTGCGCATGTCAGAAATAAGCTTAGTGACCACACAGAGGGATCACTGCCCCGGAAAAATCAAATTAGCTTGCGTAAGAAGAGAAATTAACTTGCCAAGGATGGCGTGATGCAGGTCATAGACGTTCCTCCTCTTGATGTATATCCCAACGATGAAAACCATCGGCACAACGACGGCAATAACCTGCATGAAAACCCCAAAACTACTAGAATCAAAGCTCACTCCGGGAAACTGCAGCTGCGATTTCATCAGTGATGTATGGAACCCAGAGCATGATCTTCATCGGAAGATGGGGCGTATATGTGTGCCGTACCGGCACGGCCCAGTCGGGCACGGTGCTGCGCTTCATGGGGTACCGGAGGTCCGCCATCATGTCCTGGGACACGAAGCGGTGGAACGGCTGGACCAGGCCCAGCAAACCAATCGTGGCGACAAGCAGGAGCAGCACGATCCAGTCGAACAGGTGCAGCCTAGCGACCTCTTTTCCGTGCGTCCTCAAGCATGGGTGCACGGTAGCGCTAGGGGCAGGGGTCGCCGGCGGCGGCATCTTCTCCTGCACGCCTGACACCTGACACAGGCCACAGCCTCCTCCTCGTCCCGAGAAAGGCAGCACTGAGGACAGGAGAGTTGAGGGCGTTTTCTATTTCTTGAGCGGAGGAAGACGACGTTGACGAGCTGGCGGGAAGTTGTTGACTCGCTGGTTGGTGCTGCTGGAGACGCTTTCTGCGTTTGTTCGTGGAAGCTGGAAGGAAGGCAGGCGCGAAAAGGCTGCATGGGGATTGGGGAAGTCATTCCCTGGTGCACACGCACCCGGGCGAACAAACAATTTCAGCAGCGACTACGTGCCGTGTTTGCCTCAGGTGTGCCCCGTGCGGGCGAGCACAGGAGGTTGGCGGCGGCTGTGCGTATCGGGCAGGGAGAGGGTTCGTGAGGACTGAGGGAGAGAGTGAGATTGGGATTTTTTTATTGTTGGCTGACACTGACATGTGGGTCCCACATGTCATAACGTTCAAAGTGCCGGTCAAACATAACATTTTTGTTGAAGCACCAGTCAAACGTAACATAGTTGACTATTATGCCACATCAGCCCTGATGGGTGGGCCATTTCTGTCAAATTGCGTTTAAATCACCCGAACCGGTCACTAACAAAAGGTGGTAGGTCTGTGCGAAAAATTAACCTCAAGGCGATAGGTTTTTGTCACGCCCCTGAAAAGTGGTCGTTTTGGGAACCGCATGCCGTAGTTGTGCTAATCTAATGCTAAACACTTTGTCTAGGTGTGTTTTGTTGTCCATGTGTTCTGTGCAGTTGCCTCCGTCTTGTGTCTGTTTGGCTGATGTTTTTTCATTCGGTATGAGTTGCAGGTGCAAGTTAATTTGGAATGGGCTTCACGTTCCCTAGTGTGTGTGGCTGCAGGTGAACGTATTTTGGGTAGCGGAGGACTAGAGCAAAACCGCGTACATCGTGAGCTTAATGATCACCCAATAGTTCGACTATTAAACTTGCAGCCCGTTTCTTGACAAATAGAGTCAATCACTAATTTCAGTTCGTTACGCTAAATGAGCTAACGAGTTTCATGAGCAGCTCGATAAATTTGTTAGTATATCACAACATATATTCTTATCTTACATGACAATATTTTCGTGACTTTTCAACCCATCTATTCAATCTAATCGACTCATCCCAACCCACAGAGACAACAAACTAGCCCACCTCGAACAGTGGTAACCATCTTCTTTCGTGAAAATTCACACCCATGATTACTTGCGTGATTGATATCTTATGCGCGCTAACAAACATTGTGTCTCTGAGAGCTCTTTGCGTTAGCTACTTCTACAAAAATCTCATGGAAGACTCATGGGCATTATGCTGACAGAAAAAAAAGGACAGGGAATTCCACTTGGAGACACTATCTCAAGCTCCAGCCCTACATGCATACATCCATGAGCATCCACCATCACCTCAAACTTCATTCCAAGTACTATGGTCCTTTTCGAGTACTAGAACACATTGACAATGCTTCCTACAAGTTGTTGCTCCCTGTTGGCTGCCAACTGGACCATACATTCCATGTATCCCAATTGAAAAGGCACATTGGCCCAAAGGCCATCCCTACAGCACCTCACACTTAATCCTGATGGTACAATCCTCATTGAGCCTGTAAGAATTACTAGAACCCAAGCTTATTCCTCGAGTGCAGGGTAACATCAGTATCCCAGTCATTTCAGTGGAAGGTCAAATGGAAGAACATGCCTCCGGAGTAGGCGACATGGGAGGACTCCGCCTTTATCCACAAAATTTTCCCAGGCTTTGGGGCTTGAGGCAATATATTTGGTATGAGTTGCGGGTGCATTCGTTATGAATATATGTCTGACTATCATCAAGTGTTTATGTTCATTCTCAGTGTGCCGTCCCTGATCGCCGATCTCCGATCCAACGTCCTCCTGTGCCACTTACCACTTCGTTCTCGGGAGACGTCGCAGCCCATGTTGATCTCCGATCCAAGGGCTCCTGTGCATCGGCGTGACGCTATTTGAATTACGACAATAGCACGTTCTTCTACTGTTTACTAACACCTTTTCTCATCTGCAATCCTACAAGAGACAGTGAGTGGGAGCCTGAGGCTCACCTACTTTTGTAATCAGGTTAAACCCTAGCCCTTGTGTTCCGGCTGGCCATATATGCGCATCTACCAGTGGTCAAACCCTAGCTAAATCTCCTCCGAAATCCATCCATTTCTGTTCAAATTAGTGTGTGCTGCAGCGATCAGGGTTCAGAGATAGACTGAACCTGACAAGGCGGCCATCCTTCACATCTTTGACTTAGCATTGCTGCTATAGCAAGTATGGTATGGATCTTCTCAGGACTGGCCTCAATTCTTTGCTTCATTACCAAGAAAAGCAAGAACTTTCCGCCATGGATTCCAAGGGCGCATTTCCCCAGGATGAGCTGCATGACAAACCTTTGAAGATCGTAGGAGGTTTCTTGAAGATCTTCTTGACGAGGCTTTGGCGTGAATCCTCTGGTCAGTGCGTTAGGAGTGTTTGCATGTTGGAGAGGAAATGGATCTCCAAAAGACTTCTTTGCACGTGGCGAGCTTTGTTTCATGGAGGTGGAACACTTTTCTATCCGATGCTTGCTCCCGTGCAAGTGTGGTCTGAGGTTGATCAGGGAGTTCCTGCAAAGTTCTTGGTGATCAAGAACGGAATGAATATATAATAGCAACAAACTGCAATAACGTGCCTCCAAAAAATCTACTCCAGTACTAGTATATCAAACTTCCAGGCACCGCGGTCACCATAAACACTAAAGCACTACTAATTCTGGACTCCACCCATGCCATAAAAAGCTCTATCTAACATGACCTATTATCATCACAGAAACCAAACCATGGTTCTGGGTTCTGGTTGTGAGGTAACTAGTTTAGAAGCTCGGTACGGGTAAACAAAAGTTTCAGAGCATGTTTTTCCTACGATGAGCCTGGGGTGGAGGGGTTTGCAGCGGGGGTGGCGTCGGCGTCCTTCTTCTTCAGGTCTTCAAACTTGTCGATGGCGACCTGCAGCTCATCAGTGCTGCCGACTGCTCTCATGGTGTAATAGTACACCCCAAAGACGAACCCCGTCAACCCACCGCCCACCACCAGGTTCTTGGTCTTGGGAGCAAGGCTACCGAATCCCACCATCTGCTCCGGCAACTCGGCGCTGCTGCATGCAGGACACAGATATGGAAATGTTATGGCAACTTGTGGGACATGTTGATATCAATTCAAAATGCAAAGGCTATGTAAATGTGTGACAGTATAAACATAGAGATTCAAGCACATGACTTCGGTTTCCTTCTTCTGGCTCCCCTCTAGAAGTTACACAATTTTAACACTCGTAGTTCTGCAGCAACTCAAATGTGACTTCAGTCAGTGTTACCCTAAAAAAATATTCTGTTTTATCGAAGGAAAATAGGTGTTACTGATGTGTAGCCTTTCCAGATAAAACAAATATTATTTGTACATCAAAACAGGAACTACTGAAACAGCTTTCGTGTATACAGTACAGAGCACTCTAACAAGGTCTGTCTACTTGTTACTTTGTTAGCAACTTCAGAGTGAAAAATAGTGTTGGAACTTGTCAGCAACAAGGATCAAATGAGTCGAGAGGGAAACTAAATAATACTGTACATGCTGTTTCAAAGCTTCACCTGGGCCATGTGTGAGATTTGTTGGGTGAACTTTTTAAGACTAAATGAAGCACTCGAAACCCCAGCTTAAGTTCTTCATGTTTCTCCATATGCTAAGTACAGAGAAGAGCAATTCCCTTTCGATAGAGCACATGTAAGTTGAATCTATATAGACCACTGTGCTGAAATGTGTAAACGACACATGATGCAATTTATCATAGCGCTGATAATTGGCATTCTGACATGGTGACTTACTGAAAGAAAATTCGAAGGAAGTTAGAAAAAAATTCTTCCACAATTCCTCGTTCAGTCGTTTGCACAGAACATGATTACATTTTTGGGAGCTCACGAATTTATAATCTGCGTTCACTAACCATTGCAGTACCCTTGTGGTTGATGCTATGAAAATTGAAACCCTATTTGCAATTGCATGTCATGGAGTCACTGAAAGTGCTACATGGATCATATAACCAGAAATTATATACAGTACAAAATATTTTGTCTCCTTCCTTCCCATCCTGTGAGCATCCACAGACCCTACCCATGATCGGGATTGGGATCCAAGGCACAGAATGCAAGAGCAAGTGCCTTGATTCCTAAGCTAATATCGTCAAACTGATAGATAATTTGGTTTCTAAGCTTGTTTACCTGTGTATTAGGGTCTAATACACAAATCTAAAGACGGGTACAGGCACAAAGTAATCCAATTTGGTCCCGAAATCCCTTCTGAAAGAGAATGCTTAAATTCCCAAAATGTTGTGGCAATATACTACATGGGCGGATGCACC